TTTTATTGGTAAATGTCAGTTTCACCATACACGCACATATTGTTGAAAAGATATTTCTATTGATGATTAAAATTTACATATAGGCAAAGAAGGAAAATTTCTGCTTGAGAACTTATTAGAGTTTGACTTATGGCTGTTTACTTTGTATATTTTGATATATGATGACAATTTGTGTTTCAATGGTTATAAAGCTTTAACTTTTTGAATCTCAACGTCTACTGGCATTAAATAATTGTCTGACCCCTCCATAATTTCCATAACTATGAAAATGTAATCAATAAAATGGAAAGAAATTCTCAAAACCCATAATATTTGTGCACCTGTGAATATTTAAATAAATAAATATAGAAAAAATGTATAACACTAAATGTTGATATTGTTTGATGAATTTGTGTAAAAAAAAATATATATTGAATTCTGCCAAGCCTATGTTGGAAGTTTGTACCTCTGGACTTCTACAAGTGAGAGACTTGCAGAAAAGCATTGAAACTTGCTTTTTCATGTAAAAAGAGTTGTCTATATTACTTTCTCTCTTTTATGCTATTGTTTCTAATCTAAGCTGCCCTTTTCTGAATCTGTTTTTTGGAACTGTGGTTTTTCTTTTAAACTGGTCATTTTTTAAACAAGGCATTCCTTGTGAAAGTCAAACTTATCAAGCATTAATAACTTAGGAATAACTTCCCTTGAAAGCCAAGTGGCAAGTGATGTTTCTCTATTCCCCTGGTATCCACAGAGATGGCTGTCAAATCAGAGTTGACTCTGCCTATTGAGCATCTTGGAATCGTTTTTGACATGCATTTACGTGTAAACCTAAAGACCATAAATAGTCTCTGAGAGTTAGTGCTTGCTACTCAGCCAAGCAAGGCTGAGTGTCTTAGTGCTTTAATACACATTTTTAAATTATTTTTCTTGAGTAGACCAAGATCTATAAAACAAGGCTTAGAGGATGTTTGAACCAGAATGAAATTGATTTCATTTGTGTACTTGAATTTTTTTATTTCAGAAACATCAGAAAAATCTTGTTAATCAATAGCTGGGTATATTTTGAGAATCAATTCTCTAGTCAGTTTTTTTTTTTTCCCCCAGTAAGGCTGAAGTCAGGTTTTTCACTGAGGTTGTTGGGTTGCTATGGCATGCAGTTTCAGCTGCACAAGGAACTTTGAGATGCCTTAATCTTTACCCCACAGTTTTTCAGAGAAGGGCATTGTCATGACATATCTACAGTAATGTTGTAATTTATAATAGTGGCAAAGACATCTGCCATGCAAAGGCTGTTTTTTGTCATCTTGTGTGTTGTCCCAGGGAATACACATTTTAATCTGTTAAATAGGATTGTAAGATCTTCAGTGCTGGAACTTTCCTTGTAGGAAGTACTGAGTAAGATTATGGCACTTATTGTGCTGAGTCTTATTGCAGTAGCTGCACCTTTGTGTCTATTCTTTCTTTTGTTTGTTTTTCCTCAATTTTATCTTCTGCATATATTTTTGTATTGTCCCCTACCCTTCTCTCCTTTTTGTTTCCATCCTCCACTTGGTCTTCACATCCCGTCATTTTGATTATGGCAAGGATTTTTCATGCCATTCCAAGCAACCCAATAGCCCATTTTCCCGTTCAGGAAGCATTTCACAGGCTTCTCTCTAGAGTCATTCATTACCATATGGACAGCAGACCCTTGTGGAGAGAATTGCTGTGTGGCCTTATCTGGGTGAAGGAACACAAAATGGCTGGTCATATACTGATGCTTGATTGCAGATTTAACTCTGGAGAGGTCTCTGTGCACCTTGTAGGAATCTGGTGTGTCTGTTAGAAAGGCAGGCACATTTCATGATGCAAACACTGATGGGGAACTGAGGCACATGTTTAGTGATTCATTCAAGGTTGTACAGAGTGTCAAACAGAGCCAGGAACTGGACTAGTTGGGGGTAAGGGGCTGTGAAAGCGGTATAAATTAAGGTGCGTGGGCCTTGAACAACACATGGCAGGATTGCAGGGGAGGGCGCAATGGGTGTTATTTTTTCTGAAGTGAGGTTCAATTTTCAAAAGAAAATACCATTATAGAACTGTGACTTTGGTAGAAAGTGAGGTTAGGGCTGTCATGGGGGAGAAGAAGAGGAAGGTGTAGAGCAGTGGTTTTCAAACTTTTTTTCTGGTGACCCAGTTGAAGAGAATTGTTGATGTCTGCGACCCAGTGGAGTTGGGGATGAGGGGTTTGGGGTGTGGGAGGGGGCTCAGGGCTGGGGCAGGGGATTGGGGTGTGGGAGGGGGTCAGGGCTCTGGGCTGGGAGTGCAGGCTCTGGGGTGGGGCCGGGGATGAGGGGTTTGGGGTGCAGGAGGGGGCTCCAAGTTTGGGGGGGGGCTCAGGGCTGGGGCAGGTGGTTGGGGTGCGTGAAGGTGTCAGGGCTCTGGACTGGGGATGCAGGCTTTGGGGTGGGGCTGGGGTTGAGAGGTTAGGGGTGCAGGAAGGGGCTCGGAGTTTGAGGGGGGGTCAGGCCTGGGGCAGGGGATTGGGGTACAGGTTTACATCTGGCGGCTCCCGGTCAGTGGCGCAGCCGGAGTGCAGAGACAAGCTTCCCGCCTGTCCTGGCACTGCATCCCACTGCACCGGAAGGTCCAGTCTCCTAGGCGGAGGCACACAAGCAGCTCCGTGCGGCTCTCGCCCACAGGCACCGCTGCCCCCACAGCTCCCATTAGTCAGTTCCAGGCCAATGGGAGTGTGGAGTCGGTGCTTAGTGTGGGGGCAGCACGCGGAGCCTCATGGCCCCCGGCGTAGGAGCCAGATCTGCTGCTGGCTGCTTCTGGGGCGCAGCGCAGTGTCAGAACAGGTAGGGACTACTAGTTTTTACTGGCCGGCCACCAGAGTCCCTGGGTGCTCAGCAAGGTGACCCAGTGCCCAGGACTGGGTCGCGACCTGAAACTTTGAAAACCATTGGTGTAGAGTGTTGCACTGTGCTGTTAAACTATCACCCAGAAGAGACGCATTTACGGTAATTTGTTGGTGAGGGATATACATGTGTATATAATAAATTCCATATCGTAGGTTCTTTGGGGTAGGGACTATCGTTTTCTATATGTCTATACGGCAACTAGCACAATATGGCCCCAGCCTACTTAGCCTCTAGGCACTAGTGAATATAAATATTAAAGAATATATTTAGAGAACTGTAATCGAAGTTGAAGACAATAGCATTGTGCCCTCTAAGAAGCTAGAGGATTTTGAGTTTGTCAGTTCTAGAATTATTCCACATAAATCTGGAAAGTAATTCAAGTAAGTGTCAGAGGGGGAAAGTAGGTGCATGATGGAAATGTTTTGACTGTGGCAGTCCTATGTTTAATAAATCTGCCAAGTTTGTATCAATGAGGTTAAATTCAGGAGGGATCTTTTTAATGGAGGTGACTATTGTGAACACTTGTTATGAGGTGATTAAACTGAAAAGAATGTCCACTGCCAGGTATTAAATTCTTGATAGTAATCTGAAGAGTGTGTGTGAGAGAGAGAGGAGGTGGCCTGCATTTTAATGTCAGAATAAGTAGGAATTTTGAAAGAGCTTCATCTCTGTAGAAAAATGTTTACATCTCCTAATATTGATTTCTCCTATGTTAGGATACCCTTTTTAAATATGAGTTTTAGGAAAGGTTTCTGCGATCACAAATACGTTGTTTCATGTGGAGTGTCCATAACTTTATTCTCTACCTATTGGATACCTCATGGCCTAATCATTACACTAGGGCATTGGGGGTTAGGAGAACTGAATTCTACTTCAAAACGCAACTCATTATAGTCATCTTGTTGCTTCTGTTTCCTCCCATGTAAAATGGGGATAAAAATACCTACCTTTATAAAGTACTTGGCACTCGATGGTACACTTCATCAGAGGATCTCAAAGTATGATGTGGCGAAGACTGGTCTACACTAAAAACTTGGCCAGCATAGCAATGTCAGTTAGGGTATGATTTATTTTTGGGAGCGGTGGGAGAATTAGGGGGAGACTTTATGCTGGTCAAAGCTGTAGTGTAGAAATAGTTGCGCTGGCATAAAATGGTTTTGCCAGTACAGCTTATTTCACTCAACAAGCCTATATAAACTGCACTGACAAAAGCACTTTTTAGCTGGCATAGCTGTGTCTACATTAGAAGGGTCTTTGTCACAAGGAGCTTACAATCTAGTATAACACCAGAGACGACAGATGGTTGCTAACAAGCAGGAGAGTACAAGGAAACAATGAGACAATATTGGTCACAATAGGCAGTGGTCGCAGCACACCAGTGGCCCAAATGTTAAGTTTTGTATAGGCATTAGTGAAAACAAGACTTTTTTGGAGGGATTTAAAGGTGGATAATGAGGTAGCTTTGGGGATGATTATGGGGAGCTCCTCCCAAGCAGGAGGGGTAGCATGAAGGTGCTTGTTTGAAAATATAATAAGGTGGCAATGGAGGCTGCCATCATGGGATGACTGGAGACATGAGACAACATCTTGGTAGTGAAAGATAAATGATTGGGTGGGTGGGATAGGACATGAAGCTTACATTTGAAGTGATAGAGGGTGCAAAGAGAGAGGTACCCACCCTGGAGAATGAGGAGGCTGAGAGAGGGGGCCCCTCACCTGTTCTTGCACCAGGGCATTCTGGGGCCTTGTTATGCCACTGACATCATCCATCCTGTGCACTGAATGAGGCAGGGGTCCTGGAGAACAAATAGTATGTGATCATTTTATTAAAGACTGTATCACAATGCGTTCACAAGGGGGGCAGAATTAAGGTTGTATAGACAACCTAAATTCTGATATTTCTGAACTTTTGAGTGCGACTTTGGCAACCTTAAGAATGTTATTTTAGCGAGAGATTATTCACTTTAATGTATTCTATGTCTAATGATCTCTGTTCTGAGAAACTTTTAACCATTTTATTTATATACTAAATTTTATAACCAATTTTTCCGTTTAGATTTTTAATTAAAAACAAGAGAGTGTGCATTTCATTTATGGAGTGTTCTTTGTTTTCAGAAACAAGACACTGGTCAGGTTTTGTTGGATATGGCCTATAACCACTTGGGTGTGACAGAGAAGGAATATTTTGGTTTACAACAAAGTGAAGAGTCAGTAGATTCCCCTGTAAGTATAGTGTTAAATTTAAAAAAAAAAATATTTTAAAAGTTCTTTTTAAAAAAATCATCTAATTTTTCATTTCACAGCGATGGCTCGAATCAAGCAAACCTGTTAGAAAACAGCTTAAAGGTAAGATACTTTACATAAAAATCTAACTTTTTCTGGCCTGAATTCCTCTTCTACCTATATCATTGATTAGAAAAAAACACAATTCTGAACTTCACTTTTGGGCATAAACAGTAGACTTTTTGGCAAAACTTCGCACAGTTCTTACTACTGGTTAAGCTTCAGTAGTGGTAGCTGCTCCAATGTAGATTAGACACTGTAGGTCACCAAAATTACCACTCTGTCCTCTAGCTCTGGTCTGAGCAAAGTTAGACAACATAGTAGTGAAAATAGTAGCTGTCTGGTGACCTCTGTACATTACTGTTCCCACTGATGTCAGCAGTAGAGGGGAGAGTAAGTAGTTGATGGGGTCAGGGCTGGCTCTAGGTTTTTGCTGCCCCAAGCAAAAAAAATTTTGGCTGCTCCCTCCCCCTCCCCCACTGCACCCTCCTGCCGCCCCAGCCCTGGGTCACTGCTAACTCGCTCCCAGGGTGGGTCATTCAGCAGGAAATTTGGATGTGCACAGAACACAGACAGGATTGGTTCCCATATGGTTACAGAACTGCAGTAAAGTGGAACAATTTTCAGCTTGTGTGATTGAAGGCTATCTGGATGCATATTATAAGACTGTCCTACATAAATGAGGAAAAGTTGAGGTGCCTTTATTATTCTTTTGTTCCATTCTTTGTTTCTATGGGGAATTTGCCAATGCAATATCACTGTCTTCCTTTTAAACAAATAAAACTAAAACTTAAAATAATAATAATAATAATAATAATAATAATAATAAAAAAAAGGCAATGGCTGTTGAAAATAGCAATTCCAGTCCTAATAACCACTGGGAAGCATTTCTTGCTCAATTTATTCTACTTTTCCTAGAGCAAGTTACAGTGGAGCAGTATATTTGATTTGGGAGAAATGAAGTAACAGCTGCCCAAATTGAGCTTGAGCACTCCTGAATTTTGAGGGTGTTCAAATCTGGAAGGCAGGTGCTGGATTTCCTTTCTGAATATTAGCTAAATCTGGAAAAGAAAAGTCAATTTCTGCTTCCATGGCTCAGAAGTGTAAATCCTCCTACGTGCCTGGTACTGTATCTAAAGCTGTCCAGTCTAGTAGAGCCTCCCCTCCCTTACTTTTCATTTTAAATTCTAGTGGGATCCACGTACCTGCCTTGCTAGGCTTCAGAGAGGTGCACTGTTCATTTAGTCCACCCAATTCTTTCTTTGGGGGAGAGCCCAGGGATGGGGCGGCAGGAGGTGCATGTGCGGGGGGGAAAGAGCCCAGGCTGGGGTGGCAGGAGGTGCAGGTGGGGCCAGAGCTGGGGCGGCAGGGGGTGCGGGGACGGGGGGGGGGGGAGGAGCCCAGGGCTGGGGTGGCAGGAGATGTGGGTGCGGGTGGGGGCCAGGGCTGGGGGGGCGGGAGCGGGGGGGGGGGGGAGAGCCCAGGGCTGGGGCAACACGGGGGCAGCAAAAAACCTAGAGCTGGCTCTGTCCCTACCATACACAGCAAGGTGCAGCATGAGGTTTCAGTTCCACACTCCTTTCCCCTCCCTTTCCTGTTAATTGCGGCCGAGGGAATGCTGGGATATGTAGTTCTTTCCCTGCTCCAGGGCTGGCTCTATAGGCAGGGAGCTAACCAAGGAACTACAGCTCCCAGGGCTCCCTGTTGGTTCTCAGCTCCCATGCTGGATTCTTGCGCCCCTGCAAATTTGCCGCCTGAAGCACCTGCTTGCTTTGCTGGTGCCTAGAGCCGGCCCTGGATGGGGTAAGAGTGTAATGGTTTCAAATATTTCAGGTAAAGCTCTTAATCTGGCCAGAGTGGAGCAAAATTAGTCTCTAGTGTTTGACCTCAGTCTTTAAACAAAAAAAAAAATTACAGGGCATAATTATTTTTAGCATGAACTATTTATAAACAACTTCTGGTAACAATTTTTTACTCAGTGCAGATGTAGTCAAAGCTATATAATCACTAGTGAAGTTGAAACAAAAATTCTGTTTTTGATCTCCTGATTCTAGCTCATTTGGTAGCTTGTGTGTGATTTTAAATAAGGTTAAAAGTTAGTTATGCACAATAATTGTTAAAGCTTTGTTACTGTTTATTTTCCACAAGAGGAAATATAGAGGATTCTCTAAATTTTCCTGATATAACATTCTTGCTTGTCTTATGAGATACTTGCATCAGGTGTATTTTCTTCTTTTTTTAAGACTTTCCTCTTTTAATACCAGAAGGAATGGAATGTACTTTTTTCCAACACAAATTGCTGTGTTAAAAATGGCACTGTTAAAAATATAAAAGAAGGTAACTGAATAGACCATGCTGATAACTGCTTCATGAACAGGATTGTTTTTCAAAGAAAGATATATTTGTGTGTTCTTGCTCTGAAAGTAGCAAAAGACTTAACAATATAGTGGGAGTGCGGGAATAGTGAACAGATATATTTCATGATTTCTTCCCATGTCAAAAAAAAGAAAGTAAATCAGATTTGTCATATTATGTGGTTATTTTCTGTTGTAGTTTTTTCTATAAATTTTACAGAAATAAATCAAAAATAGAAATACTGATTTACTTTTGTAAAACGTTGTAGGAGGTTTTCCCTGCACCATCCATTTTCGAGTAAGATTTTTTATACCTGATCCCAACACACTGCAGCAGGAACAAACCAGGTAACTTTATTTTCAAAATTTACATCCATCAACTAAGAATTCGTAACAGTCTCTTTTTATTTTCTGATGTTAGACTGCAATTTATTCTATATATTTATTCTGAAATCTGTTTAATATAAAAGGTGTGGGGATTTGCTATTTAAGTAAAGTGTTTAGTATTTATATAGTGTTATAGGTGTGTATGATGCTATACAACTGGTGATAGGGCACAGACTGAATAGTTCCTGCTACATAGAGCTTACTTTCAGAAGGTTCAGGCATATAGTTTAATGTGACACAAGGTGTCACAGTTAATAGGTTAATTGCATCTCTGACCCCGCCTGGTCTTTTGGAGTATATCCTGAGTGTAGACCTCTGGCCTCAAACTGTCACCTCTGTCTGGAGGTGGTATCATATGATTCTCCTATGCTCAGAGTGGGCCCTGGTTGCAGTCCCCTGTGTATCACCCGTGATTTACCTCAGCAGGTCTGCTTATGTCAAGACCCTGCAATTCTGTATCCTCTAGGGCAGTGGTTCCCAAACTGGGGTTCGTGAACCCCTGGGGGTTCACGAAATGTTACAGGGGGTTCTCGGGGAAAAAACTCCCTAATGGCAGACAGAGCTGTCCCTAGGGACCCCAGGCAGCACAGGGCCAGCTGCCCGAAGCCCCTGAACATCCAAGAGCTAAGAAGATCAAAGCAAACATTTCTATCACACTGAGGAGATTTAAACGTCAAGATTCCTTATAAGAAATGGAAAGGGAGGTGGATATTTTTTGCTGTTTTTAAAATTAAATAGGCAGCTAATATGGTTTTTAAAATTATTATGAAGAACAAGTTTAAGCTTTGTTGTAACGTGCGTTGTTTGCCTGGACTGCTCAAGACCTGAATGCTTGTGTAGGAGGAACTCTTTGAGTTGGCTTCTTAAATACCTTCATGCTGTTTCACATCTGATACTCCTTGATGAAACTCCTTGATGAAACATAGGAGCCTTGTCTTATAACAGACTTATTCAAAGTGATACAAGCTATGAAAGTGAGATCTTGGAAAAGTGTTGCCATTTTCATAATGTAATAAAAATACTGTAATGATCAATAATAATTAATCATAAAGAGTGTGTAATAAGCATGTCATAAAAACAAATTTTATATTTCCAAGATTACTGCTCTTATAATTTATACTCAGGTAAAGGAGAAAATCCCTGGAAATATTCATTTTTAGCAGGGGGTTCGCGAGACTTGACATTTTAGTGAAAGGGGTTCACAGGTTGTTAAAGTTTGAGAACCACTGGTCTAGCCCCACGCCTGGGGCAGACTGCAGTATCAGCCTACTCATCACTGGCAAGGAGGGTTTGGACCTGCTGCCTTGGCCTACACTTGGGTTGCCCTCTGCAACCCCCCAGTACCCTTTAGCCTAATACTAGCCCGCAGCCTGGGGCTTTCCAGGCTGGAGCTCCCCAGCTCCTCAGCCTTTCCCCAGCCCTGCTCCACTCAGGTACTCTGTCTTAGCTCCCTGCAGCCAGGCCCTTCTCTCTCTGAACGCAGAGAGAGACTCTGTCTGAGCTCCTGGCTCCCTGCCTTTATAGGGCCAGCTGAGTCTGTTTGGGGCATGGCCCCAGCTGCAGCCACTTCCCCCGAATCAGCTCAGCCTTCCCTGCCCCAGCCTTCTCCCAGGGCTGTTCCAAACCCCTCAGGGCAGGAGCAGGTGTCCACCCCTCTACAATAACCATAACTCTGAATTTCTTGGGTTTATTATGATTGGTTCTGGGATGATTTCACCATCACTTTAGTGTTTTTACCATGGAGCATACATAACAGTAATTTAAATGTTTTAGTGTGGGAATACTGTATAATTGTTTACTTACATAAGGAAAACTACTCCTACTTCTTCTCATCCCAAATGGCAATTATTTTGTGCTTTAATTATTTTCATTCTAGCTCAAACCTGAGAGGCTATGAATACCTACAAGGCCCATTGATTGGAAGTTGCAGGTGTTAAACCTCACCCAGTATTACATCATTTGTGAAGAATATATCTTATTTATTGCATATTCTAGTTACATTAAGAAATTAGGTTTAATGTGGTAATGCCATGTGGCATAAACATTTCCTATATTCTACCAAGGGCTTCTACCAAGTGCTTCTGTAAACCATGCAATGGATATAACATTGAACACTTGGTTTCTACTGTTCTCATAAAATTTAGAGTGCTCATAGGACACACTCCATGGTAAGACTGCATGATTACTATTTTAAAGTGTAAAAAATGCAAAAAGTTAAGGATCCTATATCAAAAGTAGCTACAATATTGTACTTCATAACTGTAATGACACTACAAAATATATAAGCTATAATAATTACAAGCAAAAAGAAGTTAAAAGAATTACATTACAATATCATGCATTTGAAATGCCTGATTTATGGTTGCCCATGCAACCGTAATTTTGTCTCTTTGTATATGCACCCTGTACACTGAATGAGGCAAAGGTCTCAGACTACAAAATAGTATATGATAATTTAATTAAAGATTGTATTAAAATACATATGCGCAAAACCTGAAAGGAATTTCATGGTCAAAAAAGGAACTTCTCTGACCAGAGGGCTTCCCCCTCTTGAATTTCGAAGGTCTGCTGCAACAATAGAGGTGTTAGAAACTTTTCAGAAAAATTTTATAATCATTTTTTATAATGAAAAGTATTAAGCAACTTAATGATGGAGGAGGGGGCAATAGGGAGGTTGCTCCCCCAAAATGAGGAAAAAATGAACTACTACATGTGTTCAAACTGGCCAAATCAATGTTGCTGTAGAAGCACTAAAGTAACAGTCAGGAGATGCAAAAACTTAATTGTGCAACCTTTATTTTTAAAAATGATTATATTTAGTTGAAAGAGAAAGAATGACATGAATGCATACTTCTGGGAAGCATTTACTGCTTTAACTACAGGTGTTTAGTGTGCAGTGGTAGAGTCCCTAGGGCCAGTTAGTGTAGGAGTTCTCAAGGTTTTTCTTTCTGAGGCCCCCCTAACATGCTATAAAAATTCCAGGGCCTAGCGGGGGGGCTGGGTCTCTGAGCTTCAGCCATGGGGGAACTTGGGGCTCCAGCCGGGGCGGGGGGGTAGGGGAGGGCTCATGGGGGGGGTAGGGGAGGGCTCATGGCGCCGGGGCTTCTGCCCCATGGGGCGAGGGGGGGGCTTGGGGCTGCAGGCTTCTGCCCCGCAAGGCGAGGGGGCTCCTGGCTTTAGGTCTGCAGGGCAGGGGCAGCTCAGGTCTCACGGACGCCCTAAAACAGCTTGCAGACTCCCAGGGGGCTGTGTACCCCTGGTTGAGAAGCACTGAATCAGTGAACAGCAAGCTAGTGCACTATAAAATCACATCCTGGCTTGCTAAGCTCTAACTTTCCATGTAAACAAGCACTAGGAGCCATATCCTGCAAGCACTCCATTGCGAAATCTCGATCTTCCATGACAGTGTATTCAGAAATAGGCCCTTTGTTTGTTACAAACATATATTACTTGTGTTCAGTGATGTGTGGGGCCCTGAGTCAGTGATGCATGCAACAGCAATGGATTAGTTGAACATTTCTCACTTTTGGAGGAGAGTTATTTGTTTCAGGCAAATCTATATCCTATTTTAAATTGGGTGTTTGATTTTTGGATGTGTATCCCTTTCCCATTCCTTGATTTCTAGTAAGATGGTTTCGTCACATAACACAATACCTTAGTATTCTCAATTAGAACTCAGTTACAAAAGTCTTGTTGAAATTGTAACACAAGCCATATATGGTCCCTTAGAAGTACAATAAGTTACCTTATGAAACAGGCTGTTTTGATAATGAAAGGCTATATGATTTTTTGGTACGCTAAAGGCCAGCATGATTCATGTTTTTTCATATCAACACTACTCACACTGCATATGTTGCGCCTTCCTTGTGTGACACACACAGAGCTGATATGTAATACTGTTATGAATACTGGGATGTCACAATTTTACGAACATGGTATGTGACTGGATCAGTGAGGGGAAGTTACTGCATATTTGATTATTAGAATTTCCTGCATGACTCTATTGACCTAATTTGTACTGGGGGTAATAGCATGTTTATTTTACATCGACAGGGCTCAAAATCAAGGGAGTCTGTATCTGAAGGTGACACGGGGCTTCCCACATAAGAACACCCAAGCACACACTTAAAAGAATGGGGTAAGCTGTTAGGTTCAAGGATCCTGTCTCTTGACTATAACCAGTTGCAAACCTTGTTCTGCCAAAGCTAGGAGTTACCAGATCAAAGAGTTATAAACAGTGTTTTAAAAAGTGGCTCAATTCCTATGAAAGGGCTGAGTTGCCAGGGGCTGACCAGGGAGCAGTCAGTAAGCTTTGACAGGGAGAAAAGTTGACAGTAGCTGGAAGATGAAATTCCCAGTTCAGGAATACACTAAAAATAGCATGTCTACAGTGGCTTGGGTAAGCTGCTCAAATATGTACCTAGGATCTCAGACAGGATTGTATTCGGGCAGCTAGCCTGAGCTGCTGTGGCTATTCTGCTCTTTTTAGCATGTTCGCTCCAACAGAGCTAGAACAGGTCTATCTACCCAAGCTGGGAATTACACCTCCCAGCTGCTGCATAGACATACCCAGAGAGGCTCAATGGAAAAGTCTAAAGGGAGTTAGTCATACTAGGATCCCTGTGTGGAAGATGGTTAAACACCTGAAAACTAGATATACGCATAGTCTTTTTATTATTTGGTTTTTTAGATGTTGTATCTGAAATGCTTGTGTTCTAAATACAAACCTTGCTTTAAGAAGGCTGTTTGGTAACTATTGCCCTAGAGCAGTGGTTCCCAAACTTTAATAACTTGTGAACCCCTTTCAATAAAATGTCAAGTCTCGCGAACCCCCTCCTAAAAATGAATATTTCCAGGGATTTTCTCCTTCATCTGAGTATAAATTATAAAAGCAGTGATCTTGGAAATATAAAATGTGTTTTTATGACATGCTTATTACACACTATTAATTATTATTTATCATTTCAGAATTTGTATTACATTATGAAAATGGCAACACTCTTCCAAGATCTCACTTTCGTAGGTTGTATCACTTTGAATAAGCCTGTTATAAGACAAGGCTCCTATGTTTCATCAAGGAGTATCAGATGTGAAACAGCATGAAGGTATTTAAGAAGCCAACTCAAAGAGTTCCTCCTACACAAGCATTCAGGTCTTGAGCAGTCCAGGCAAACAACGCACGTTACAACAAAGCTTAAACTTGTTCTTCATAATAATTTTAAAAACAAAACTAGCTGCCTGTTTAATTTTAAAACCAGCAAAAAATATCCACCATCCTTTCCATTTCTTATAAGGAGTCTTGAAGTTTAAATCTCCTCAGTGTGATAGATATGCTTGCTTTGATCTGTTTAGCTCTTGGAAGTCCAGGGGCTCCGGGCTGCTGGCCCCAGGCCGCCCGGGGTCCCTAGGGACAACTCTGTCCGCCATTAGGGAATTTTTTCCTGAGAACCCCCTGTAACATTTCGTGAACCCCCAGGGGTTCCCGAACCCCAGTTTGGGAACCACTGGGCTAGACGATGACTGGCAGTAGCCTTGCACTGAGGCGAGGTGGGATTAGTGGGTGGGGGTTCCCCTGGGAGGGGAGACCCAGCATGTGTGGGTACTGCCAGGGGGCAGCACCCAGAGCAAGGGGCACCGGGGTCCTGGGAGGAACACGGGGGCCAGTGCAGACGACAAGGCTGATCACCGGCCTGCAGAGAGCGCTCCGGGCTGGATTGAGCTGATTCCCCAGATGACCATCAGGGGGCGCCGCAGGGGTGAGTCTGACCCCTTACAGTTATATAAAAGAATCCAAACATATTGAGATTTGGAAGTGAACAGTGAAGGCACTCCGACAACCATAACTCAGTTCTATAGTGATGCCATACAATACCCATACAACTATAAGTGCATAACAGTGTTTATAGTCCTTGATTAGATTAAACTGATTTTAAAGACCTATTCATATAAAAAAATTACTTGTGGTGTCACTGTAGGGCAAAGCCCTTCTTCAAAATGAACACCATCTCACATTGTTCCTAATGGGAGTGAGGCTAAGTTGCACAAGATTTCAGTGAGTTTTTACTACATAGGAAGTTTTGAAGACTCTGTTTTGTTACTGAAATCAATAAGGACAAAAAATATGTTGTGACATAGAGTGCTACATTTATTAAAGAACCCATTTTAAATAATTTTTTTTAACTCACGGACTAAGATTTACTTACAAATTCTCAGAAAACTCGTTCTGTACTCAGGGAAAGTGCTGTCAGTTTCAAACAAAAACAGAGCTTTTAATCTCTGCTCTCTTATACACCACCCCTGAAAAAAAACCCTCCCTGCAACTTCCTTTCTTGTTCACTGTGAACAACACCACCATTCTTCCTGTCACTCAGACCCATAACCTAGGTGTCATCTTCAACTTGGATCTCTTTAGGTCCTCACATCTAGACTATGTCTAAGTCTTGCAGATTCTTTCTGTATCACATCTCTAAGATACGGCCTTTGCTATCCTTCCACTCAGCTGAAACTCTTGTCCAGGCTCTCATCATTTCATGTCTCAATTATTGCAACATTCTTCTCTCTGGCCTTGACAAATGCAATCTTGCCCCACTGTTACCCATTCAGAATGCTGCTGCAAAGTTCATTTTCCTACCCCATCGCTTTGACCATGTCACCCTTCTTTGCATTGCTTCACTGGCTCCTTCTTTTCTATTGTATCAAATGTAAACTACTTGTCTTTACTTTCAAGGTCCTTCATTACCTATTACCACTTTATCTATCACCTCTCATTAAGTATCAAAAAGATGACTCCTGTCTCCAGTCGATCCATGATATCAGCTTCTATTGCCCACTTGTTATGTTTTCAAACAGGCACCTCCATGCTGTCTCTCCGCAAGAGAAGCTCCGCAAAACTAACTCATTATCCTTCTTCAAAACCCTTAAAACTCTCCTTTGTTGCAAGGCCTAAAAGAACTTGCCAACTAGGCTGCTGTTGTGCAGAGACCACTGCCTATCATGCTGACCAATATTGTCCTATTGTTTCCTTGTACTCCAGTGTCACTCTGTCTGCATCCATTTTTTCTCTCTTATTTTATAATCTAAATATAAGCTCTTTCGGGGAGGGAGTGTCTCTTTCTTCTGAGTCTGTTCAGTGCCTGTCACAATGGGGTCCTGGTCCATGAATAGGTCTCCTAGGTGCTATGATAATGCAAATAATAAATAATAATACAGTGGTTGAATCCCAGTTTTAACTGCTAAATTTAATTCATCCTTAACTATGGAATTGTAAGCAGTGCTTCCATAGTTAAATACAGAATTGTGCATCATGCATTTTATCTATGAATCCATTGACTGACAGGTGAAGCATGTATGATTTTCAAGCAGAGCATACAGACTTGACAAATGAATTGTAAATCTTGATGTTTTTGCATTATGTATTTAATGTATTTGATAACATAGTAACTTCATGTGGCTATTCCTTTAAGAAGAGCACATGCAGACCATGCACGGAGTTTCACCTTAATCAAATAAAAAGTTGGTTCAGCCACTATTACATTATGAATATGCAAACATTTGTAGAGTTCAGACCCTTTTTAGATGTCATTACTAAATTGTCCTTTTAAATTTTAATGAATACCAGCTTACGTGCCATACAAATAGCTGTCAAAGACTAGAATGTATGAATAAAAAGAAATTGTGATTGATTCATAGGATCAGAAATCTTAGTTACATATCTTAAATATGAGGGCATTGGAGCTACTTTATGAATGAGCTCTTGAAACCAATAATTTATTGTTATAAAGAAGATGTTTGATACACAGATTCGACAGATGGTTGGATCTAAAATCAAAATTCATGGGAGCTAGGCAAGCCTCATTTTCTAATGGTTTTATTCTGCAATTTTATGCATAAGACTGAGTTAACTGGCTCTTATTCCCTGAGACTGACTAAGTGGGGGCACTTTGGAGGCAGTGCGTTTAGTATTTGAATCCAAGGAAACCTTTCATCATTTAATAGTGACCCTTTAACCTAATTAAAGATTGGAACTGGCTTTTAATAGGAACTACAAAAGACCTTAATTCTTGTGAATGACCGTGAGCATTCACATAATTAAAGATTTAAAGGAATATCCAAGTAGGCTTATACTTTTGTACATATAGTTTGTTTGTAAATACGTGCATATAACTTAATTTTATATATAGATTTCTTAGAAATGATTAAATCTGATATTTGAACATGAATCAACTTTTCCAAATTCTGTTTTCTAGGCATTTATTCTTCTTACAACTGAAGACAGATATTTTGGAAGGAAGGTAATGAAAAATTCTTATTGAAGTAATCTTTCTTCAATAGCTGGACATAAAAAGGAACAGTGAAGGAGAAAAAAAATCTGTTTTTGAGTAGATTTTTTTGCTATCATAAAAATATTCTTAATTGAATATTGCTTTACAAAAACAGGCAAATGACAATGTTACTAACATCCATAGAGCTAGTTGGTTCTGTAAAGGAGCAACCCATGTTGTGACTGTGTCAGAGGAAACTGCCTCATTTGAGCTCCAGTGGGCATTGTGCTTCACATAGGTGATGTGTGTGTGTTGGGGGGAAGCGCCCCCTCCCCCAGATTTCTGCTTGCTGGGTGAGGGAGAGGGGCTCTGTCCTTCTCCTGCTGCACCTGCCCCCTTACACGTTTGGCCCCTATTCCTGGCAGCCAAGCCCAGGCAGAGAGCAGAAGGGGCAGGACGAAGCCGCTTCTTATGCTTTCTGAGGGTAGCCGCTCGGGTCACTGCTCTGTGCAGCTCAGCGACTGCCTGTGAGAACCCGGTTGGGGAGGCGGCAGTGGCCCTTCCCCTCTGCTCTCCTCCCGGGCATGGCTGCTGGGGATAGAGACTGAGCAAACCAGAGACTCCCACAATGTTCCCTCTAATTTTTTACATCCATGTCTGGAATGAATTTTGTTATGTGCACCAATATGTAGGTGATGTGTGGCAGGGGTGGGGCCGAGGGGTTTGGTGTGTGGGAGGAGGCTCAGGGCTGGGGCAGAGAGTTGGGGTGTGTGGGGGGGGTGAGGGCTCTGGCTGGTAGTACGGGCTCTGGGGTGGGGCTGGGGATGAGGGGTTTAGGGTGTGGGAGGGGGCTTAGGGCTGGGGCAGAGGGTTGGGGTACAGAGGGGTGAGGGCTCTGGCTGGGGGTGTGGGCTCTGGGGTGGAGCTGGGGATGAGAGGTTTGGGGTTCAGGCTATCCTGGGGCTGTGCTGGGGAGAGAGGACTCGCCCCAGCCCTCTCTTGTGGCAGCAGCCTGAGCCAGGGGAGGGGCGCCTCTCCCCCAGCCACGGTAGCTGCAAGGCTTGGGATCAGGGAGAGGCATCTCTTCCCCTGGTCGCAGCAGATCTGAGGCTGGGACCAGGGGAGAGGCGCCTCTCCCCTCCCCGCGCAGACCTTGATAGCCTGCTGTGCCACGGCGCAGCTTAGAAGAAACTTAGGCCTCCCCTTTCCTGGCACATTTCCAGCTTGCTTGGTCCCTGCTCCCAGCAGGTTGGCCCGGGCAGGGAGTGTAGGGGGCGGGCTGCTGCTTCCCCAGCTGGGCTCTCTCTCAGGCAGCTGCTGCGCTGCACAGAGGCAGCGACCTTGAGTGGCCACTTCAGTCGGCGTGAGAAGGGGCTCCATCCGGCTCCCGCCCAGGGCTGGCTGCCAGGGAGTGGGGTTGAGCGAGCTGGAAATGTGCCAGGGGAGGCACAGCCCCCTTCACCCCCTGCAGGTAATTCTGGTAGGGTGGGGAGAACAGGGCGGTCCCTGGGCTGGGTGCAGGACAGGAGGTCGCTGGGGAAAGTGCTAGAAGCAGGTTCCCTCCCCTCTGCTCAGCTGGTGGTAGGGGCATTTCCCGTGCTCCCCTGCTGTGGTATCTGTGAGCTCCGGGGAGACACTGGTGCTGAAAGTTTCCCGGGCCAGGGCCAGTCCCAGCTGGGCTCCAAAGCACCTGTTCCTGTGGCCTCAGCCCCCAGGAACCCATGGAATTGGCTGCCCTGGCCCAGGGAGGTGGGGCTGGAATTTCCTTCCAGAGGTGACATGAGGGGCAATCACATGTCCCTCCCTATACGTTGTCCCCCTCTCCCCTCCCTCCAGTATTAGGAGGCACAAGTTGTCTGTGCTTCGAAAGTAGATCTCCTTTGTGGAGGGAGTAGCATGGTGACTGTACCACCCCTTAAGAGTGTGGTGCATGCTCTCCCCTCCCTGGCCTGCCACATCCCTCTAACCCTCAGATGGTCCTAGCAGAGAAGAGTCCCTGTCCTCAGGAGATTTCATGGACTTCATTTGTACATAGTCTCTGCTTGGTAGGCATAAGTTAGAAGGCTCTGATGTCCTTCTGTCTTTCGTCTGCATCTGTGAAAAAGTCTAAAATGTGGTCCAAACCTTTCATCTTCATTACCTGTTGTCTTTAAAAATTGGTAGCAAGTTCTGTGTAGACTGTAGATCAGAGCTGCATTTGTACGCTTGGCACTTGGCTAATTTTAATGTTCATGTCTCATGTTAAAAATAATAGACTGCAGTTATTAAAGTTATATCCAGAGCAAGAAAATCTTTCCTTCCTTTTCACTTTCCAGAATAAGCATCCAACAAGGATATGAACATATCCATTTAAGACAAGTTATTTCCATTCCATTAATGAGCTGTTACACAGCTTAATTTCATCACCCTACTATGCTATGACTATTGTCTATTGTTTAAAAAAATCAGTGAGAGTTGCTGAAGATTAATATTAAACGTTACAAAATATATTGATTGCAGAGAAATGGTTAATATTCTACCTATTTATGCTATGTGTAAGTATATATATTAAAAAAAACTGTTTTTCTCTTTTCTCAGGTTGTTATGCCCTCTTAATTCTGCTGTTGTCCTCGCATCTTATGCCGTACAGTGTAAGTAATGACAGATCTTTCTTGGCTGGTAAAATATTTGACCATCATTGAGCTGTTCTTTATCTTCCACTGAGCTGTTTTGATAACTCCAGTGCAGAAGACTTTCTTTACCTATCCTCTTGGATAAAATTGTTGCTAAAGCTGATGCATTGTAAAGAAGGATCAAGGAGCTACTTGGAAGGAAAGAATACATGACCCGTAATCTATATTTGTATGCCTAGGGCAGTTTCACTGAATAGAGGTAGCATGCTCATTAAATTTGTGCTATAGAAAATATTAGATTGATTCAAGAATTAGAAATAATCAGTGCCCTCATTTGTGTTCTGTATAAAACTTACGGTATGAATTGGTCTGAAACATATTTTCACTCTAAGGGTTTTTCTATGCGGGAGCGTCCAGGAAAGCTAATACGAATGAACTAAGAGTGTGAGGAGGTATTTCATAAAGCAGTGTATAGAGAAGGGCAATTAAAGAGGAGGGAAGGCTCATGTTGCTGGGGGAGGGGGTGACTAATGGTAAGATTACAGTGTGTAGACTGTAGTGTATATATGATGATTTTTCTAGCATATTTGGGTTTTTCCCCGTAAATCTATATCCATAGCCCTGCCATCTGTAGACAGTGATGTTCCCAGTAGAAAAATTGTTTCCCTCCTTCATTTCCTTTTGTAAGCTACTATAGTTTTTGTTGCTGCTTGTGTAATCCCCATGTTCATTCTGTGAGCCTCGGGGTTCAGCAAAATATGGGGTATCCTAATAATAAGGAAAAATACTGCCCTAACGAATAAAATACATGTCTATTGTCTTGCTAATAGGGTTCCATTATTTTTACTGAATATATCATAACTCTATAATGATATGATATAGATTACTGATAATGGTTTTTATCTGAGAATAGGTATTATAAACTATTGTCATTTCAGTTTTGGATTTTAATTTAACTATCTTCTAAATGAAATCTGAGATTCTGGAGTACAAAATAGCAGCCTGGGGCGGGGGGTGGGGGGAGTTGCTGGCTTGAACTACCATTGGTTAGCCCAGTTTGACCCATTTCTTGCTAAACTACTATGACTTTTCAGCGGCAATTTCCTCATGCATTATCTCTTGTGTATGGAGGAGATTAATCTTAAGGTGTTGATTACCTACAATTGTTAGTTAAAAACATGTGGCCGTTGTCTCTGAGCTTCCATAATGTGTTAAGTTTTATATTTATTTTTACATTTTCATTTCTTTTTCACAGGACTTCTTCTTGTATAGGAAATTATTTCATTTAAGTAGTGGTCTCTCTTTTTTCACATGTAAAATATAATTTATTCTTATTATAGGTTTTCTTCAGTTTTGTAAATGTTGCTAACCACTCAGTGCTGTAGTTGTGGTCGCCTGGAATAGATCATGCTTCTGGAAAAACAACTGTTTTTACATATTGCCTTTTCATGGTTGTTTGGCTTTCGTAGTGAAGTTCTAAAATAAAACTGTTCTGATACATTGCCTTTTGGTTATGATGCTACACTTTGCTTTGTTTGATGGTAGTAAAAAATTACAGGAGAGTAGAACAATCTGTATGACTGTATCAGATTAGTTGATGTGACTGTATGATTTATCATAACTACAAAGACTGTTCTTCAGATATTGGGGATATGCAGATTAAATGTTACTTTTAATGTTGAATTTATGTTGAACATTATATATTGCACACTGTGTTTTATATTCAGCACATCTTGAATTTCTTGTTTCTTAAAAGCAGTCACTAATGAGATGTATATTTTCTTCAAATATTTTAAAATAATTTATTACTCATGAGTTCAATTAAATAACACGTTTCAAATGCCAAATCCTGTCCTATTTTTCTGTTTATTCTTTATGTTGTAAACTAAGATTATTGCCCACAAAGTTCTAGAAAGTGAAATGTAACAGATTGTCCTACACAGTTGATATATCCTCTGCTTTTAGTTAAAATCTCACATAGCAGATTTACTATTACTACTACTGCTGCTTTTGCTGTTAGTTCTTATAGTAAGGCCCCAATCCAAGAAATAAATTGTTATAATGAGTGCTTTAAATTGTGATTCATTATGACTAAGTTCTTCCTCCATATTGTCTAAGCACATAGGCACCTCTCTTTCTTTTCACTCTTGCTCCTAATTTCTCAATGTGCCAGCTGAAGGAGTTGTACAAAGTAGTGCTTACATCTACAGCTCTCCAGTCTCTCACCCTTGCTTGGAGAAGCAGGAGGTTCTTCTAAAGTTCTGCTCTCTTTTTTCTAAGCAGAAGGCTATGTGGTTGTTGTTTTTAAATCTTCTCCCAGCCTGGCTCCATTGCCCTTCACCATTCATTCCTCTCCCACTCTGTAGAAATGACGTTCAAACCCCAGGTTACTTGGGCCAAAAGTCCATCAGCAGGATCTGGTCTGTTTTGAAACTATAAGACTTTGGCACTTGCTATTTTTCTCTGCTGGTTAAGGTGAAAAATGGAGTCCAGGAGTGCTTCTGAGGCTCTGGTAAATCAGAGGGGTAAGAAAAGTCCATGGCGTTGGACCCCCTAGGATGCCAGAATTAGGTAGTTTTTTTCCCCAGTTGTTCCAGGGAAGGCCTTAGCTTCAATTCTCAGTCCCTGTGATTGCTATCTCAAGCCCTGCTTCTTCAAGCTTTTGATCAGGGTTTCTTCCAGAGGGCAGCTCTGACTCCCAATAGCTCTGAAACTGAAATCACAATTAAAATAACAAATGGAGGGTGCATCAGTGGGTCTCAAACTTTTTTACTGGTGACCCCTTTCACACAGCAAGCCCCCTAATAAATTAAACATACTTTTTAATATATTTAACACCATCGTAAATGCTGAAGGCAAGCAGAGTTTAGGGTGGAGGTTGACAGTTCGCGACCCCCCATGTAATAACCTCGCGACCCCCTGAGGGGTCCCAACCCCCAGTTTGAGAACCCCTGGGGTAGATGAACTTAGGTGGTTTGAATTCCCAAGATATGGAACCAGTTTCTGCTCTTGTATGGGTGCCTAAAAATTCCATGTGCTGATTCTGTTCTATTTCAGGCTTTCTCAGTTGTGTGCATCAAGGTCACCGTGGCCTCACGTGCCTTTTAGTCCTACCAATGTAGCAGTGTAGCCGAACACATGTGCCAGCCTGTCATGGCTGTAGACCACCCAAATAGCTAAAATATGCAGGTTAGAGGTAGTTTAAATCTCTCTCCTGCCAGTTTTCTTCCACTGCAGAGCGGTTAGACTATCACTTTTTTGGGCCTGCCAGCAACTCTCAGCTTGTCGTTTATATTACCAGTCTGCCAACTCCACTGGACAATCTGAATGACTGTGATCCTGCAGTAAAATGTCAGTGTTAAGGAAGGAGCTTGCCCAGTTTTAAAACCATATCATCATGGCTTTTTTGCTCAGATATTTTCTTGTTCCCCCTTTGGTATCATCTCTTTCCTCTGCAAATACATTTTAAAAAATGACGGTCCCTGTCCCTTTAAGGGGAGTCATAGCCTGGGGCACAAGCAAGTGCTGTTGCTGAAGCAGCAGCAACAGAGCTCTTTACAGTGGTGAGGCTGTGCAACCCAGTAGATTGGAGATTGCTGTACCATAGTTGAGGTGATTAGCTGAAGCTTTCAATAAAATGTGTTAGTATAACATGGGGTCTATTTTCTTTTTTAGTCAAGGCCTTCCAAGTCCTATGGCTTTAATAATATTTTCCCTTAGTATCTTAGAAATAGTAAAATAGGAGTTTCTTCCAAAGTTTTCAAGCCTTCCACATCACGGTTTACCTTTTCCTAAAGGAAATTTCCAGCCCCAATGGCTTAATCCCAAAGAATTCTTAAACAATCCACATCAGACAGAAAATCTCTTGAAATAGTCCCAAAGGAATTTGTGCATAGATTTTTCAAGACCACTTCCTTCATCTTTCAATCGCATTTGGACAAAGAGCAAATCTACAGGCTGGCTGACTGGACATAAATTGCACATAGAAGAATGATAATAATGAAATTCTCAGTTAGCTAACAGAAACATAGTCACCTACTCACCCATAATTCTCCATAGCTTTGTCAATTGAGCATCTTTGGATTCCTGGTCTGGTGGGACTTTCTTTTCAAAGGTCTGCTCAAACACGAAGGCTTCCAGCAGCTGAGGTACTAAGCCTGAGGAGCATGGATGTTCATGAAAGTTCATGGACTTCTTGCTCAAATCTAGAAACTGTCTACAAATCTGTTTAGAGAGAGAAGGTGGGTGAAGTAATTTTTATTGAACCAACTTCTCCTGAGGAGAGAGAGAAGCTTTCGAGCTACACAGAGCTCTTCTTTGGATCTGAAGAAGAGCTCTGTGTGGCTTGAAAGCTTGCCTCTCTCATCAAAAGAAGTTGGTCCAATAAAAGATATTACCTCGTCTGTCTTCTAATATTCTGGGACCAACACGGCTACAGCAACACTGCAGATTACAAATCTATTTGTCCTTCCTCTTCTCTCCACCCCCCAAGTCCTTTTATCTACCTTGTCTATGACCTAAGCCTTTCAACAACCAAGAGAAACTGTTACACACTTTAACCAGGCAGTGAAAGTCTTTTATACAAAACTAAACCTTGGGGAAAATCTGAACCATTTTTAGAATTACATGGGAGGCCAGGGCCACAAAGCATAAATATCCACTATATATATATATAGATAGATAGACAGACAGAGACACAGGAATTTTTCAGGCCTTTAAATGTTTGTCAAACATCCTTTTACCTCGTTGAGGACTCTCACAACTGTGCTACTTGTTAGGCATATTATCTCAAGGGTTCATCCAAGGAATTTGCCACTTGGCTATTTGGTCTTTATTGCATTCATTGACCGAGCACTATTAAATAGGTGTGCTCTCCTTGTTTACTATGGCTTTTTGAATGGTTCTGTTTTTTTTTCTTTGATTTTTTTCTTTATTAAAACTTTTCAGATACATTTTAAATGATCAATGCAAATTCAAATAAGAGGTATGTGTTTCTCTCTCCCACTCTTCCCCTCCCCACCCCCGGCTCCATTTCCTTGAAGATTGTTTTCTTCATGTTTGTTGAGATTGTTATACTGCTGGTTACTTCTCAGTTACAATGAATCATAGAGCATCAGATGCCCACAAGCAGGAAAGATAAAACATCCTAATTCTTTTCCATTGTTTAGGTAATAAAAAAAAAAAGTGGGCTGATGCTTGAGACTACTCTTCTACAATGTGTACTAAGCAGCGTTTATTATAGTTAATCTCTTCAACTATTGCAGTTGTCTGGGGAGTTGGAGATGCAAGTCTAACCTGCGCCTCCTTGCTGGCCTGACAAGGATGTCCCTAGCTAGGAAGGAGGGGGGAGGGGGAGAGAAAAGAGGAGCCTACATGTTTGGAAGATGAACTAGAAGAACCCAACCTCATCATGAATCACTGAGCAATAGGTACTCTCTTTAGAGAAGGTAAAATTACGATAAGAAACACAAGCATAGATTTTGAAGTAGAAAATTAAGATGTACTATTCTTGGCAATGTAGTCTCCTGTTGACAAGAATATGCTTCAAACCAACTTTGGTATGAAAAAAAACATAAAAAGCCTCGCTCAGCTTTGCCCAAAAAAACAAAAATATTGGGTCAGAGATTATATGGAAGAGACTGAGAAATTTTAATTGCTGGAAAGGAAAAATAAGTATACACTCCAGTCAAAACACAGTTGTCTGAAATGTGCATATTTTATTTTGATACCATTATTAAGCATATATTACTTTGGATAAACAGTTAATAAGTTTGTGGTTTTATAGCCTTAGCCTTCAGTTGTGCACATCTGTGCAAGGCATTGGCCTGGATCTACATTAATGTGTTGCAGTACATGGAATTTTTTCAGTTTGGCACAGTTCATACAAGTGACTGGTTTGCTTTCAAAGGAAGAGTTAATGTTTAACAAACATTGTTAAAGTTTGTTTAGATATTTATCATTAAATCCAAATCTTTCTGCCAAGAGTGGGTTTTGCTAACTAGTACAAAAATTAAGCTGTTTTCAAAGGCATTTAGGAGCAAAGGACAGTGGGAACATTACAGTAACCAAACTAAATTACTTCATGTTTGCCCATTAATTTTCTCTTCCATTTAAATATGTGTTGTGACCCCAGTTAGTGCTGACAAGTAGCTATGGGACTGTATTTTCCCAGGTGCTGACAGCTTTCATTCTTTTATATCTCAGTAGTTAAGGTTCATATGGCGTAGAGGTTTTTCCTTCGTATCTTAATTGGCCAGTATTCCTAAATTCGGCATTCCCTTTGCTTTAGGTATCCTACAATTGTTGTGCTATGGGTTCTTTTATGAAGAAATATTGATTCTTTGGCTAATCCGCCATTTCATATTTCATGGCCTTTAAAATTTTTGTAAAATGATGGCATCTTGTTTAGAAAAATGTACTTTGGGTGACTTGGCCAAGGCTTTATTGTATACTGAAATTTCTGCAGTGCAGACCAGTATGTGTTCTTGTGCTTATCCACAAAATATCTTACAAGTAACTTTTTCTCTATTTTTAATCCTTTAAATGTTTTATAAGTACTGTTTGTTCTGTGCTAAGAAAAATAGTTCATGTTCTAGTGATTTGCATAGTATCATATCACTTCAGTAATTTTGATCGGCATATGAAAGCATTACTGCTGAGTCATTTGGGTACTATACTTGTGAATTTAGAATTCCACTGAAATTAGTTCTAGGTAATTCTTTTAGCATCAGGTAAATGCTTGAATCAAAACAACAACAAAAAAACCTTAACAAACTCTGACTTGCTATCCATAAAGGGTGATCTTTAGACGAAGGGTGTCAAACTTATTTTGTGGAAAGGGCTGAGTTACATCTTTGACTTGTGTTCATGAGCTGAGGCTACAAAGTTAGGGCCATATGCTGTCCTTCAATTTATAGCAGATATCCCATTGCTAGAGAACAATATGTCCATTTACTGTTATATTCAGCATCGCTCAGTGGGAAAATATGATTATGGGCACTTGTATAGAATACTATTTCCATCCTTTGTTTATTTGGCCATTTGTGCATATATGATTGTGTAAATCCATGCACAAATTAGGAATTGGTTATCATGAGAAATGTTAACACTCAGTTAAGATGGATAAATGACAACTGGGTAGTTAAAACGGGACAAAACAACATTAGTTAAAGTTTGGAAGATTTTCTTTATAGTTTTAAATACAAGACATTTTTTAAAAAAAAAGAATTTTCAGTCTGCAGATTCTTTATCTGTAATGGGGCCCCACACACATCAAATGGGCTCAGTTTGATTTCCCTGATTTAGACAATTCTGTTTCACCTGTGACATTTTACATGGTTATATTCTGTGCTGGTGCAATATGTGCGGTCTAACAAGTTTTGTTATGGCATACAAAGCAAAAGTATGGATAAATGAGTAACTGAACAAAGTATTAAGCTAATCAGTGCCCAAAAATGTATTTATGGTAAGCATACGTATATGTTGGAAGAGATTTTCATTTGCTGTTGTTTTAAGATTGAGTAGGTTAAACAAAACTGTGGTCAGTGAGAAATAATCTTTAATTCTTGCGGTTTTCCACAACTATACTTCTCTTGGTTAATATGCCATTTAGTGCAGAAGGGGGAGTTCCCGTAAACAGTATTTACACTAGACTGAGGCTATCTATTAAACCTTTTTTGTGCATGTGTTTTTTCCCTAACAGCTCAGTTTGGAGACCATAACTCTTCAGTACATCGTTCAGGATATCTCTCAAATTATCGTTTCATACCAGATCAGAACGAAGATTTTTTAACCAAAGTAGAGTCACTACATGAACAGCACAGGTAAACACATACTTTTAATATCTTTCCCATTCCCTCTCCTTCCCCTCCACCTCATGAGTTCAAAAAGAAAATTGGGGAGGGGAGGGAAGGTTAATGTTCCTGAAAGTTTAACCTGGTGAATGTTACATTAATATTGTTTTTAATAAGCTTAAGCTTTCTGATTTTGAAATATATGTATTCAAAAGTTACGTACTAGGGAATATAGCATAAGTTAAATTTAAAAACAAATCTTCATTAATTGAGCCACTGATTATTTTATAAAGTATAATAAATTAATGTTGTTGTCAGGTAGACATTGAGGGCATTTCTTTGAGAGCTCCTTGCTTTAGAGGGCTTTGGACCATGATCAAAATCCTGTGGGATTCTCATCAGGCTATGGAAAGCATGAATAATTTGTGGGTTTTACTGTTTAAGATAGAAAAGGAGGTAGCTAATTACAGCTGGCCAGATATGTCATTTTAAAATGTTTTGAATCATTATGGCTGTTAGTCATTAGTGAAAAAATGTGTTGGGTGTGGGCTTGGTTTGCATGTATTCTGTGGCTAGATTTCTTGATTCCTTTGACATCTCTATGCTGAAATTTTCTGTGTGGGATAAGTGGGGAAACATTTTTATTGACTATATGTATGTTACTAACACAGCTAGTACTGTATTGATAGTTATTAAAGGCATTAGCAAATGTTCAACTAGAGTGAAGTTAGAATTCTAATTTACATTGTGACTTTTTTGTTGTTTTCATAACTTATTTACATTACCTTTGAGATGAAATTTTCCATTTTTGTTTTAATCTCAGAGATGCGTTAAATGGATCTTAATGTCTGACGGTTGACATTTGCTACTAGGATTGGGTATCTTTAAGGAAAGTCTGTTGGTCAGGAGTCAGGAAAGAGGCTATCTTCAGGACAATAGTTAACTTCTGTGCTACATTATGCATAGTACTTTCTATTTCTATTTTAAAGTTTTAACCTTTAGACTGCAACACATAGGAAAAAAGTACTACAGTATCTTTTTAATTTTCTGACTATTTAAAGTTCATCTAAAATCAAATTAAAATTTATTTGGTTTACTTTTTATTTTTTATGTCCTTTATCATAACAAATACTTCAAATTGAACTAAATTATAATTAAGTTCAGTCTTCTAGGCAAAAATAAAAAATGTAAAGGCCCTTCAAAACTAAAAATTTGAATCTATCTGTCACTTTTTACCCTTTTAATTCTGTGTTGCTTGTTTGGCGAGGTGTAACTAGCAAACATTAGTTGGGTAGGAAGGGGAAGGTATTTAATTTACTTTAAGTGAAAAAAGAAGTCTTGCATCCATTGAATGTTAGTGACATAGATGAAGATGAAAAACACTAAAGGAAAATTGGTCCTCACATATAGAAGGAATCTTCTAGACTGTGATGGATGGACTGGATTAACTGGACCACAAAGGCCACAGAAGGAGATATGATAAAGATCTTGGTGTCTTCCAGTCTTCTACCATAGAAGCCTGTGTGCTGCATCACAGCCCCTGTATGTTGCTTCTGTACCACAGGGAACAGCTTTTTCACAGCAGCTCTTCTTAGTTCAAGGATTAGGCTGTAGACCCAAGGGTTCTGGCAATTCCTCTTAGGTACTGTCCTGCACTTTGTCTACTCCCTCCCCTATTGACATCTCCAGGCCCTTGTCATGGAATATCGGGAGTAGTCAGACAGCCAAACCCTGGGCACAAGTGAGGTAACACCCACACTGTAAGGGGTATTGGCTCTCCCTGTCAATGGCCACTGCTAATCAGGGCTGTTATTCACTTTGAGTGGACAAGCTGAAGCTGACTCCTCCCATACCTGCTGTCAGTCTGTACCAAAAATGTGGGGTTACTGGTGTGGCTGGAAACCTGTATGCTGGGTGCAGATATAAGTCAGTTAATTGAAAATGGTGGGGGACTGTTAGAAATCACTCTTGCCAGTGGAGGTTTGTGAACGGGCACTGAATGGAGGGGCTGAAGTCAACTCCTCACTGCAGACAGCTGTCAGCTTTGGAAGTGAGTGACCAGTTGGATCCCTGCAGAGCAGTGGACAATATGAATATGGATAAAGATGGGGCCTGTGAGGAAGGAGATTCCTTTTTTTCTTCAGGCTCCTCTCTGAGTATTTAAATACTGGAGTCAGGTGTTTGTGATGCTTATTTGTGATAGGTGATGGTAAATAACTCAGCAGGTACACCAAAGTACTGATAATCAAGGAGTTTAATTGCCTCATTTGAAGCAATCAGATTTTGATAATTGAGGAGACGACCCATGGGCAGATTTGCCTAGTAAAGAACCTCACACTTCCTAATGGGCCTAATCCCTCCTTTGAAACCTTCTGCTTGGGGGTTAAAGCCAATCTCTAACTATTAGGGATTAGGCTGAGACCTTCATGAAGGATCTGATTATTCCACATCCTCCTTGGAAGTATCTGGTGATTGCCAGTGTCTGAGACAGGATACTAGATTAGCTAGACCAAGGATCTGATCCACTAAGACAAATCCTATATCCTAAGGGGAGTCCATTAGAAGGAAAAAAATATAAAAGTATTTTTCCCATCCTTTATTAGGGTCCCTGGGAAATTATGTTTATTTGGTATGATAGACTGTCTAAGCTGATGTGAGTTAGCAAAATCTGCCATAGGCCATACATAATTCCTAGACCAGATTGTCCCTTTTAAATTCTGTCCCTTTATGGGGATTACACAACTGCAGGGACTGCACTGTAAATAGCTATGTCCTGCTTTATCTCTTCCAGGTTTCCCGTTTGAGTTCTTGCCCTCAATAGTCCTAAAAGTGGAATTGATGAAATGATTAGGTCACACAAAGATGCTACAAACTTGACAAACTCATGTACAGTGTGGTTTCTGACACAAGACTTTCATATCTCTCTCCATTACACTGCCATAGCTTGGAGAGAGATTGAGTCCAGCTCACAGAAGTCTCCTGAACACACTTGTTCTAGACACTGGTGTGTGCACACTATCTGCTAGGAAAGCTGTTGACACCATAACTAATTGGTGATGCTGCAGACGTTCAGGAATCTTGGCTGTCCTTTCTTATTTCAACTCACACAAAAAATTCTAAATCTGCAAAAAGATTTCTCCTTTCCGTAGATATGTGATTTTTATAACAAGGTTTTCTGATCATTCTTTATTTTGTACCATAGTAGCTAGGAGAGCCAACTGACTGTGATCCGAAGAGGTGGACACCATCTCTGGAATCCACCTGATCCAAATGGGTAACATGCTTTTGGGGTAGTTAGACAAAATTGTTAAGAAAGTAGCCAAGTTTGACAAGCAATTTTGAGGAAAAGGATAAACACTTTAACCCTAGGGCAAAAGCTACAGGAACTACAAGTTCTGTTTTGGGGGTAACATATCCTATCTATACCCAGCATGAGGGGTTCCAGACATATCACTAACTCTTGGTTTTGGGTAAGGACTGCCAGGAGTGTTGGGAAGAGATATGAGGAGTAGTTTCAGCTTGTCCACTCAACATGCTGACAAACTGTCTCTGGCTAGGTGACCAAACATTTCTCTTCACCGGAGCAGGTAGGATTTTTATGCTTGTCTTCTGATTCCTTCTTTGCTTTGGTTTTCTGGACACCTACAGCTTTGGTGCAGGTTATGTACACAGACTCATGATTAAATTCTGTTGTTTCGTTTAGGGCTTATGATACTACATCTGCTCCTTTTCTGTAGGCATATTGTGTGTGTTTTTTTCCATCTTAGTAGAATTAAGGCCCTGATCAAAATTTTGCAAATGCAGTTGATAGGACTCATAAACACACAGACTTCAATTCTTAACTTTCTATATTAATCAACTGTCAGATAACCAAATGATTATTGTGATTTCTCTCTACTGTTCCAACATAGTAGGAGATGTGTTGAGTTGCAGTCCTGGGATGCAAACATCTCCAAGACTTTTCCTATTCCAGGCAATGTTCAAAGAACAGTATCCTTTTGGCAATTTTCTAGATGCAGCAGTCAGTGGAACTGCAGTTCTGAGTAAACTACCTGGACCTCAGGAAAGAATGGTGGCTAGTTATGCTTATACCCTTTGACATATGTCATCCTCCCAAGTCACTCTTTCCTAGTGTTGTCACAGTGATCAGAGAAGGACATAGTCAATGTAATCCACTTCATTCTTTTTTGACATTGTTGGCCCTGGTTTTCCTGGTTGGAGATGTCCTTAAGTCCTGCTGTAGATCTGTTGTTGCAGTGGTCACTGTAGTGGCCACTTCCAGGCAGACTAACAGACATATTTAATGACCTGGAATTTGAGAGAATGGACGTGAAGGTTTATACTGAGCACCTGCTAGATGGCCTCCTTTGATTTAGGAAGGATTTTACATCTAGAGCAGCGGTTCTCAAACTGTGGGTCAGGACCCCAAAGTGAGTTGTGACCCCGTTTTAATGGGGTTGCCAGGGCTGGTGTTAGACTTTCTGTAGCGCGGAACTGAAGTCCAAGGGTTTCCCCCCCTGCCCGGGGCAGCGGGGCTTGGACTTAGGCTTTGGCCCCCCTGCCTGAGGCGGCGGGGCTTGTGCGGGCTCAGGCTCTGCCCCCACTCCGGGATCATGTCGAAATTTTTATTGTCAGAAGGGGGTCGTGGTGCAATGAAGTTTGAGAACCCCTGATCTAGAGTTACTACTGCATCTGGAAAGTCTTCATAACCTGGTTTTCTTACTATAGCTGTAAGACCATGACAGTTTCTTACAATTCCTGATTTCAGGTCATTTGGTAGCTTCATTAGCCTCAAGACTCTCAAATCAAGGTACTTCACTCAACTGCCTTCAGAAGTTCATCTGGCAAATAGTTGTCTTTTTCTCCTCTCATCCCTAGATCCTTTAGGGCAGTAACTAAGTTGGACTGGGCTTCCTTCATTATTATACTTCCTTTCTATTAAGTTTGTCTTTCTGGTTTTCAATCACTTCCGCTAGAACGATCAGTTAGTATGTTGCATGGTCTGTAAAGTACTGCAGGAAAGACCTTTTAAAAAAACAAAGTGGTAGTCAGAACTACTCGAGGATTCTTACATATCTTTACCAGGACGTAACTCTTAGTTTGTTTTGCCTTAAATGCACTGAGTTTCAAAAGGTCAGATGGTGACACCTGATACCTGCAGATCAAATTATTTCCAATTAGGAAATTTCATGTCTTGTTCCTCTCCTATGCTGGGAAGAACAAAGGTGTGAAAGCTTCAAAGCCAACATATCCCAGCAGTTCAGGTTAGCAAACGCAGAAGCTTACAAGAAGACTGGGGGAAACCCTCTTCCAAATCTTGCAGCACATTTATCAAGGTCTGTTACCACATCTCTGGCAAAAACAAATAGAAGGTTTTATGAGGAGATTTGCGGAGTAGCTTTCTGATAATTTTTTTGTTCATTCATAAAACACTAAAGTAGATGTAACTTCTTCATATATTGTTTTTTTGGTAGCTGGGTTTCTTTAATTATCTCCATTCATTGTGCTCTTCCTCTGCTTGTTCTTTGGGGTAGGCTGCTTGCTACTTTCAGTTAATCACCAGACTGGAGCACAAGCATGACTCTGTGTGAGAATAGCAATTGGTATGGAATCTTTTCCACCCCTGTGAATAGTTATGCCTTATGTTTTTAGTTATTTAAAGGTTCAGACTTCGAAAGTTGCTTCTGTTTGCCAGAAGCTGGGAATGAGTGACAGGGAATGAATCACTTGATGATTATCTGTTCATTCCCTCTGGGGCACCTGGCATTGGCCACTGTTGGAAGACAGGATACTGGGCTAGATGGACCTTTGGTCTGACCCAGTATGGCCGTTCTTATGCTCAAATGGGGCTATGATGCAATTCCCTGGATTATATAGGAGGCGTCTAGAAGGAGCTAAAATACTGAATCTTAGCTGCTTCTGTGCTATTTGCAGGTATGATCAACCTGTCAGCCTCCAGACTACAGGATTCTTCTGTTTTGAAAAGAAACATTTGTAATAAGTTAAAATAGTCAAGTCAGTGAGCTTAATTTCTTGTTCTAACTTAAGGTAGTTAAAATTAATAACTTTTTTTTTTTTTTCTTTAGTGGTCTCAAGCAATCTGAAGCAGCGTCCTGTTATATAAACATAGCACGAACCCTTGAATTCTATGGAGTAGAATTACACAGTGGTAGAGTATGTTTACGTTGTCACTTTTTGCTTGGAAAAATAATTGAATTTATGAATACTGTTTTTAAGACAAGAGTCTTTCATTAACAGTGAAAACAGAAGCACTTCAGTATTGGCTGCACTGTATTTTGTTTTCAACTTAATTTGTATTATATTTCTCAACTTTGCATTTGACATAAGTGTCTCCAGTTTTGTCAGTAAATTAAATTGAATGTATAGAATAGTTTTCCCCCTCATTTGAGGACATTTTGTCTTTGATACTGCACAAGATTTTAGAGAACAAAATATTTGCTTGAAGGGTGAAAGTAAACTAGATTAGTGTGTGTTAAGTACTTGGAAACTAAGTGGCTATTTTTGTGACATGGTTGGCAGAAGTCTTCAGTATCACTTTGATTTCTAATGCATCCTTAAGAATCCCGACCCTTTACTTCTTCAGCATAGTCTTACACCCCTAAATCTAAGTCTTGGGTCTCCATCTACTAACATGCAAAATATGAAAGATGTGTCTTAAAATGATTGTAGATGGGCACCATAATGCATAGTTTTCTCGAAAGAGAGAGGACTCCTGTCCTAGCATGCCAAATAGGTCACATGATAGCATACCAAAGTCTAATTGCACCTTTATTTTGTGTAATATAAATGGAGAGCTCTTCTCAGTGTGATTTGCACGTGTCTCAGTTGCTGCCATAGTTGGCCATATTGTGGAACAAGAACTTCTCTTAGCAGAGCTTAGGTGCTTGTTTTCATGATAAAACACTGCTGCTGTCCTCTCATAGGTGGGTGACGTATTGGGGTTGACAGGACTTTCATTCTGATGCTCCCTATAAGTGAGCCATATTGGAGCCCGCAAATGTATTGTGGCAAATGCCATCATCTTTGCCTCCAACAGCTAAGAGGCCTGAGGCCTGGTCTACACTAACCCCCCAAGTCGAAGTAAGGTACGCAACTTCAGCTACGTGAATAACGTAGCTGAAGTCGACATACCTTACTTCGAACTTACCGCGGTTCAGACGCGGTCCACACGCGGCAGGCAGGCTCCCCGTCGACTCCGCGGTACTCCTCTCGCCGAGCTGGAGTACCGCAGTCGACGGCGAGTACTTCCTGGTTCGACTTATTGCATCCAGACCAGACGCGATAAGTCGAACCCAGAACTTCGATCCCCAGCCGCCGAACTAGCGGCTGGGTGTAGACCAGCCCTGAGTGGAGATACGATGTTCCTTCCTGGGGATTTGAACATTTCTACACACTGCCCTTCCCAGGGTCCTTAGTGGTTTTGGCACTAAATGAAAGGAATGTCTAGGACAACCTTCTTCCACCCCAAAGGGAGGCAAAGAGATTAGACCTTTCAGATGGAAAAAAATATTGCACTGCTGGCCTGCAATGTTATATTGCGAACCAGCAAGCCCTGATGACTAGATATGGTTTCTCCCTCTGGGATGATGTCCTTAAATGCATGTAAAAATGGCCAGAGGATTCCAGACAGGAGTTTCTGGCAGTACTGGAAGAGGGCAATATGGCTGCCAGGACGTCTCTTCAGGCTTCACTGGATGGGACAGATATGGCAGTCAGAGCCATGACATCTGCAGTAGTGATGCACAGATGCTCATAGCTCTAATTGTTGGCTCTTCCACAGGAGGGGCAGCAGATGATACATGATCTTCCCTTTGAGGATCCGACTCTTATTTTGCAGCACATTGATGAGAAACTTCATAGTCTGAAGGACTGGAGGGCTAAGTTGAAGTCTTCAGGAATTTACACCCCATATCCTAAAAAGAAACAGTTCCTCCCTCAGTCATTGCACCTTTATCAGCTGTTCATGCTTAGACATTCTGACCAGTCCAGAAAGAAGGGGACAAATCACAGGGGGAGGAATCTGCATTTTTCTTCCTCTGGGAGTCTTTCCAGGCAGCCCAGAAATGCCAAGCAGTCTGATTGATTGCCATATTGAGGGCAGTTTACCAGTCTGCATTACACCAGTTTCTCCCACCCGTTTTTTCCAGCAGGTTATCCCACTTCCTGTGTGCTTGGGCCCATATTACCACAGATCAATGGGTTCTAAGTCCTGTGGAACTTGGATACACTCTTCAGTTTATTTCAGTTCCTCCCCCTTCCTCATCTCTCTTCAAAACCCACTCTCACAAGGCTGTCCTCGTTCAAGAGGTGCAGTCTCTTCTCTTTTTTGGAGCTACAGATGAGGTTCCTCCTCTGCACAAAGGGAAAGGGTTTTATTCACGCCACTTCCTGATTCCAAAGGCAAAGGGAGGTCTCAGATCCGTATTAGACCTGCAAGAGATGAATAAACGTACAAAGAAAATAAGGTTTTGTATGGTCACTCTAGTCTCCATTTTTCCCTCCCTTGATCCCAGTGACTGGTACGCTGCCTTTGACTTGAGGGATGCATATTTTCATGTGGCTATCTGTCAAAGCCTCAGGAGATTCCTAAGATTTCTAGTCAACACCCAGGATCAGTTTACATTCCTACCATTTGATCTATCCACGGCCCTGTGAGTAATTACAAAATGTGTGGTGGTGACTGTGTTTCTAAAGGAAACGGGGGTACAAGTACTTCCATACCTGGATGACTGGCCAGTAAAGGGTTGGCCCAAGAGACAGGTAAAATGGAGTATGGCCAAGATCTGGTCCCTCTTCAGAGTTCTGGATTTGCTGATCAATGAAGACAAGTCAGTCTCCAGATGAGACTTCAAAGGAGCAGTCCTGAAAACCAGATTTCAGATAATGTTAACCATTTCTTCAGACCTAAAAGCTCATCCAGTCATGACTGTAAGGAACTGTTTGACTTGTGGGGCATATAGCTTCCTGCACGTATATATTTGGGTACGACAGACTTCATTTCAGGATAGCGCAGAGATGAGTAAGCTCAGTATGCTCCCCAACCTGCCACCCATTAGACATGCTGGCTTGAGTACCTACAGGAGTGTTAGCCTCTTTGGATTGGTGGATGGATCCAACCAATATGTGTATTGGAGTTTCTTTGCTACTCCCCTACCCACATTGATTCTGGTTATGGATGTTTCTTCTCTGGGTTGTGGGGTGGGGCTCACCTGGGGCAATGGTTCTCAACAAGTGATGCATGTACCCCTGAGGGTACACAGAGTCCTTCCAGTAGGTACATCAACTCATTTAGACATTTGCCTAGTTTTACAACAGAGCACTAGAGAAGTCAGGACAAACAATGATTTAGTTATACTACTCTATATACTATACATGGAAATGTAGGTACAATAGTTATATTCCAATTGATTTATTTTATAATTATATGGTAAAAATGAGAAAGTAAGCAATTTTTCAGTAATAGTGTGCTGTGACACTTGTATTTTTATGTCTGATTTTGTAAGCAAGTATTTTTAAGTAAGGTGAAAGTTGGGGTACACTAGACAAATCAGACAAATCCTGCAAGGGGTACAGTAGTGTGGAAAGGTTGAGAGCCACTGACCTAGGAAACCTGAGGACTCAAGGTGTCTGTTCACAACAAGATTTAGTTCTCCACATAAATGTGTGAGAGTTGAGGGCCATTCATCTAGCATATTGGGCTTTCCTCCCTCAGATCAAGGGATGTCCTCATGGACAACACAGCAGGAATGTCCAGTGTGAACAGACAGAGAGGGCCATGTCAGCTCATCTCTGTGGAAAAAGTGATACAGTTTGGGAGTTTTGTATCACCAGCATGATTTACCCCAATGCATCTCACCTGCCAGAGATTCAGAACAGTTTGGCAGACCACTTGAGCAGGTCTTTCAGCAGAGAACATGAGTGATCTCGCAGGCTTGATATAAGAAGACTAATTTTTCTGTCATGTGGGGGGCCTCACCTAGACCTGTTTCCTGCTTGCCACCACTGGAAGTGCTGACTCTTCTGTCCAAGAGCAGGTCACAGTCAGGGATGTCTCATGGGCGCCTTCCTCATACTCTGGAACGACAAACTGCTGCATGCTTGCCCTTCTAGTCCATGCTTTCCCAGAGCATTGCTCAAGATTGAGCAGGATTATGTTCACATAATCCTCACAGCACTGGTGTTGCCTAATCAGCACTGGTTCTCTACTTTGCTGTCTCTCTCCACCAGGCCTCCCTTGACACTTCCTCCAGAATCAGACCTGATCTCACAGGACCACGGTCGCCTGCTTGATTCCAACCCTGATGCTCTTTATCTCCTGGCCTGGATGCTCCATGGTTAATGCCTCAGGAGGTGGTCTGCTTAGAGACTGTGCAAAACAAACTTTCTCCTGAATAGGAGAAAGCCTTTGACTAGGTGCACTTACTTGCTAAAATGGAAGCAGTTCTCCTCATGGTCTTAGGGAAAAGAGATTTTGCCAGTCTACACTTTTATACATGTTCTGGACTATTTGTTCCACCTGAAACAGCAAGACGTATCTGGTAGTTCTATCAGAGTTCATCTGGAAACTATCTCTGCTTCTGCCTTGCGATCACGAGTGACTCAGTATTTTCCAATCCCATGTTAATTAGGATCTTAAAGGGTCTGGACAGATTATATCCTCAAGAGACAGATCTTTTCCCTACCTGGGTTTTGAATCTTATGTTATCAAGGTTGATGAGTCCACCCTTTGAACCAATGGCTACCTGCTCTTCATCTAGCCATGAAAGGGGCATTTTTGGTAGCAGTTACCTCTGTGAGGAAGATGGGGAAATTATGAGTCTTGGTAGATGACCCCTCCTACACAGTCTTTCAGAAAGACAAAGTGTACTTAGGCCAGCATCCAAAAATTTTGACTTACCAGCAATAAACTTACCAGCTCTTTTCCCTAAGCCTCATCCTCCTAAAGATGAGGAGCGACTCCATACCTTAGATGTCAGAAGGGCATTTTTACTTGGACAGGACTAGATTGCTTTGATATTCATCTCAACTGTTCGTCATGGATTTCCTCTTGCATGTGCATTGCTATGACATTGCCAATATAACCCCACCAAGCATAGTGATGGCACACACTTGACAAAATCCCAAGCAACTTCAGCAGCTTTTCTAGCTCAAGT